ACTATTTATAGATTAATCAAATTTGCTTTGACATATTAAACAATGCCACTACCACGTAGATTACGTTGCTACCAGGCTAAGGCAACTTAAACGGGTCAAACGGAGTTAAAACGGAGAAGATATGGCCTAATGAAGGTAGTGACAATTTTGTAAATAGATAGAACTTAATTTTCGAATTTCAAATAAATAAAATCCGATTTGAAACCGGCCAAGGACTGTGGATACTATTTTGAAGAAAGATAGGGGCTCTTTAGAATAAAAGCAAGGGCGACGGGTTCTATAATTAAACATCCGAGGGGGGTTTTAGCAAAAGTGCCAAGGCGAAGAGGTATGGGCTGATCTGAGCAGTTGGATTGAGACTGGACGGCCAAGATTGTAAAGAGGGAGAGAGAGAGTGAATACCGGCCAGAGGGGAAAGTCAGCGCGGCGGCTGCCATCGCCGGTGACAAGAAAAGCTCGCCGGAGTTCAGCGAATCAGCGATTCTGGCTGCTGTTGGCTATACAGATGGCATAGGGAGATAGAGGAGGGAACGATGGACTCGTCTATTGGTTCAGAGACAGCACCGAGTAAGCAGGGGTGAGCAGAGGCTCGAGGAGGCGGCTCGGTTCTCCGGCGAAACGGCAACGGCGGCGCTGCGGCAGAATAGAGCGAGAGAGAGCGAGCTAAGGCACCTAGAGGCCTTCTTACCCCGTAACGAAGAACGGGGAGCGGCTTGGGGAGGCGGCGAAGCTGCAAGACGATGAGATGAGCTCGGTGGCGGTAGGCTAGGGTTGTGGCTGCTGCGGCTAACTCAATGCAAGGCGGCGCTTTGCTCTAGGGTTTGGGGGAGGTGGTGCGGTGCAGGGCTCGGTATTTAAGGGGGCGATGGGCGTGGGACGCACTCCAATCCGAGGAGATGGGGGCCTGGCAGACTCCAAAACGGAGCAAAGTCTGGCGCGAGGATGAGAGGTAGGAGACATGACTGACAAGGCGGGCCCACCTGTCGGGCATCAGCCAGAGAGAGAAGGAAGGCAGCGCGGCGTCCACGCACGGTGTCTGCTAGGCCACAAGGTTGGGCCTACCAGCAGGGAGAGAGGGAGAGTGGGCTGCGGAGGTTGCCGGCCCACGCGGGAGCGGCAAGGGAGTGGAGAGCTGGCCGGACTGAGCTGGGCCGAGAGAGAGAGAGAGAGAGGGAGGGGCCGGCTTGACCAGAAGAGAAGAGAGGAGGGTTTTCTATATTTCTTTTCCTTTTCTATTTTCTTTTCTTATTCCAAAACCAAATTCAAATATGAACCAAATCGAATTCAAATATTATTTCAAATATACTTTCGATTCAAAAATAGGATAAGAACTCTTGGTAGGTTTTCAAAAATAAACTTTACAATTTTTTTTAAACTCTTTTATTTTCCAATTCTCTTTTTCTTTTCTTTTATTTCAAAGCACTTTTCAAACTCATTTCAAAAGCATTTGAATTCAGTTTGAATTTTTGTCAAAACCACACAATACAATAAATCCAATGCAGAGGCATGAATGCACCAAAAATGTTTCTAAACCTTATGATGAATTTTAATGTAATGAAAAATATTATTTTCCCTATATTTTATGTGCACAAATATTCAAAATTAAAGCATTTTAACTTTTTTCAAAATTGAAATTTTTAGGGTGTTACAAGTCACATGCAGCATAGCGTAGTTGCCGATGGTGATGGGACCAAAATAGGATAGGGGTTGAGAAGAAGGGATGTTACCGGCGTGGGAGGCCATGTGAGATGATGCGCCGGTGTCGAGGAACCACTCCGCGGTTTGGGGATCTGTGGGTGCAACGCTAGAGTTCGCCAGGGCTGCCAGCATCGCCTGATGATTCCAGACGTTCAGGGAAGGTGGTGGTGGAGGTGCGACGCTGGCAGGGAACTGAGACAGGGCGCCGGCAAAGTATGCCTACTGTGAAGGTGCGCCGGGACGTGGACCAAGAACGCCGGCACCTGGAATGCGGAACGGCATGGGCCAGGCTTGCACCATACCGGTCCACAGATTGAGCCCAGGAGTCCACGCAGCGCTCGGTGGGTGTGACACGAAGCTGGGACTGGAGCCGCTGGGAGCTCGACCAAAGCCGCGCCCACGACCCTTCTTCTTGTACCCACGATCAGGCCGTGGAGCAGTTCCAGGAACCGTCGGCGTGGGCTTGGGGACTGAGTGGAAACCACCATCGCCGGCCGGAGATGGAGAAGCGGATGAGCGCGCGGCGCCGGTTGCTAGAAGGGCGTAGCGCTGAGCCGCCTTGGCGTGTTCCCGATCATACTGCTCCTCCAAGAGCATGTAGGAACACGCCGAGAGGAAGGTATGAGGAGGGATCTTCGCACTGATAGCGGGAACATTGTGGCGATACTTGGGGCTGAGGCCACGGAGCATGTTGAGAACTTGGGAGGTCTCGTGCAAAGGCTGACCGACGTCGCGCCAAGCGTCGGCAAGCTGCTTGATGTGGCTGGTGTACGTCATGATGTCCATGTTGCCCTGGACCAAGCTCCTGAACTCTTGTGGTGAATTTCATTGTCCCGAAACTGATCATGGATTGCGTTCCAGATGGAGTACTGTGGCTTTTGGAACGCGAACAACGGCGCGAACGTCCTTGGACACAGAATTGTAGAGCCAGGAAAGGATGCACTGGTCGATCATGACCCACTCGTGATCGCGGCGGTTTGCGTTGGTTGGCGGGGAAGAGAGGTGCGAACCGAGGCCAAATTTGCTGATGAAAGCATTGAAGAAACAGCGCCACTTGATGTAGTTGGACTCAACAATGTCAAGTTCGACAGGGATGTGGGATTTGATGTTGACGGTCTGCAGAACGGCTGGCGGCGGCGGAGCGATGGTAGGCGAGGCGTTCTCGACGGAGGAAGAGGATGAAGAATCAAAACCGGCGTCAGAACGGATTCGACTCCATATCCATCACGCGGGGACGACGATGGGCAGCGGAGAGAGAGCGAGCGGAAGGAACAAGTCCCGATCGGCGGCGAGCAGCGGTTGCGAGAGAGGGCGAGGTCGGGATCAAGCTAACTATCTGTGAGCAGCGAGCAGCGGTAGGTAGGCACGGCCGCACGTGAACAAGTGAGACTGAACGTGAATACGTGATCCGCATAGGTACAAATCTCTGATTCTCTGTCCTATCTCCTATATGATCCCTAATTTCCTACTCCCTCCCACCCTAAATATCTGTTGTTCTCGCTTTCCGAGAAATGACTCTGATTAATTTTATATAAAAAAATATTAATATTCATGATACATAATTGATATCATTAGATAGATCTTTTTAATCTAGTTTTTGAATAAATTTATTTGGAGATACAAATGTTGCACGTATTTTCTACAAATTTAGTCAAACTTGTGGCACGAAAACCGAAAACGACAGATAATAAGGGACAGAGGGAGTATTCCCTAACCATGTACTGCCGACCGCTAAGGTAAAGGTTAATCATTGATTCAGATTTCACGGACCTGGACGGACATCATTTGGAATTTCAGATTTGCAAATTGTTTAATCTTTGACTAATTGTTTCTCTAAATTTTTAACGGTACTATGTCATCAAGAAAGTATGCTTCTGACAATGACAAAAGAAAGAAGAAAACACGAATAGATGTTTTGATACAATAGCAGAGAGGGGCTCTTCATAAATTTCTTAACAGATGATTTGAGATATGGAGGAACCAGCTAATACTAATCCAAAAGATCTAGAGGTTAAATGGATTGGAAACATTAATCATTGAGAAGCGATTGTTGGAGATTGATATTGACACCATCATTGAAGTCTTCGCATCGAGGAATGTTAGAAGAAAATTTTGAGGTCATTCAATATGTATACAAATTATTTCACATGAATATTGCTTTTGCATTCAGTTAACTGCTTATTAATAACATTTTATATATTTGTGTATATATACTGGCCATGAATGGTACTAGTATTATCGTGTTTATATAAAAAGGCCTAAAATTTTAGTTTTGTTCTAGGTCCAAAAAATATCTCAGGACCGGCCCTGCATGTAGAAGACAAGAATAGGAGCCAACGACTATTTGTATTGCTCTCTGAAGAATATTAATACGGAGTACAAAACCATGTGCGCGGAGCGCACGGTTACAGAACGTGGGCGACGCGCGCTGTCACCGCACGAACACGACGTAAGGGTGCTGACCAACCACAGATGTGGCCAGCAGAACTCATTGCTTCAACACCCCCGCAGTCTATTGGGTCATTGGGACGACGCACAGATTGGAGCGGAACTCCTGGAACATTGAGGTAGGCACGCCCTTCGTCATGATGTCCACGTACTGTTCGCCGGTGGGAACATGGAGGACGCGAAGATCACTGAGCTGGACACGCTCTCGAACAAAATGAATGTCCAGCTCTATGTGCTTGGTGCGTTTGTGATGCACTGGATTGGCGGACATATACACAGCGGAGACGTTGCAATAGGTGAAGGTGGCCCTGGCGACGCGGCACTGGAGCTCATCAAGTAGGTGTCGCAACCATATGCACTTGGCAGCGGCGTTGGCGATGTCGCGATACTCAGCCTCAGCTCTCGATCGAGAGACAGTGGGCTGCCGTTTGGAGGACCACAACACCAGGGCGTCCCCGAGAAAGATGCAGATGCCGGGCGTCGAACGCCGTGAGTCAGGGCAGCCGGCCCAGTCGGCGTCCGTGACGGTGAAATCGGAGCTGGCGCAGAGACACAGACCCATGCTGCTCGTCCCGCGAACGTACCGCAAATTGCGTTTCAGTAGAGCCTGATGCGGTCCGCGCGGATCGTGCATGTGCAGACATGCCTGTTGCACCGCAAAAGCCAGGTCCGGGCGCGTTATAGTTAGGTACTGCAGCGTGCCGGCCAGGCTCCTGCGTCGTCGACCTTGGGACCGTCCGAGGAAAGTTTGCGTACAGGCACCACGGCGTGAAGGTGGGCAAGCTCTCCAGCATCTTCCACTTGGCGTTGGGGTCCTCTTTGTTGGCGCTACCGGTCCACGTCGGCGTGGAGTACTAGTAGCGGCTGTGGGTGATGCGGTGGAACTCCTGGATGTCCTTCTTTTTGGCCATGTCCGTGGTGTCACGGAGGTTGACGGAGAAGATGTCGCCGTAGGGCCTGTCCGAGTGCGTGAAGTGCGGCAAGGAGATGGGGTCAGCGTAGACCGCGGCGAGGTCGGCGGTGAAGACGATGCTCGCCATGTCCGGACTGAGCACGGGGTGGTTCACGTGCCCGGCGATGGTGCGTGCGCTGTGGATCACCCGCACGGGCACAGGCACCTGACCCTTCTTGATGTCTTTTGCGTTCACCAGGTACACGGCGAAGTAGCCTGGGTCGTTGCCCTTGACGACGTCTGCCTCCGGCCTGCCGGAGGAGGAGAAGACGATCCAGTCGCAGCCCTCCCTGGGCGACCAGCTGCAGTGGGTGTCGGTCCACGCCCTGTCGGTGAGCGGCACCACGCCGGCGGCCTCTCCCTTCTCTGCGTCTATGATGTAGAGGTTCTTGTGCTGCCTCTCCCCTCCCGGCACCCTGTTCCTGCTGGACGGGAACACGAGATTGGTGCCCTCGGCGTTGGTGGACGGGAAGGCGTAGTTGTACTCCTCGTCGGTGAGCGGGAATGTCTCCAGGTTCTCGTAGTCCTCCCTGGACACGTTAGGTTTCCTCATGATCTGCACCGGCTTGTCGATGGAGAAGGCCGGCCCTTCGCAGACGTAGAGCGTGTCCAGGTCGTCGTTCTGGTTCCACGACGTGGAGAAGACGCTCTTGGGCGTCCTCACCTTGTACACCACGCGGAGGCCGCCTCTGCTGTCGGCGAGCCACACGGCCTTGAATTCGTTGTCCACGAAGGCTAGCTTCTTGCCGTTCTTGGAGACGGACGGGAACATGCCGGTCACCCTAAAGAGCCCCACGTCCGCGTGCGACTCCGGGGGCTGCACGTTGTCGAATCTCCACTGGATGCTCGTCGTACTCCTTTGGACCTTGAGTAGCTTGTCGGTTCTGCAGCGGTGGTAGCCAACGCGTCTTCCTCCATCGAGCACGAAGGGATTGTAGTGGTCGCCTTCAGGCCTCGTCTTCGTCACGTTCCGGATCAGAACGAGACGGATAACTGGAATGGAAGAGAATTCGGGGTAGAGATTAGCAGGGAATTTGGGGCGGAAGCAAGAACAGCAGTGGGGCAGTTGAGACGAACAACAGGTTCAGAGTTTCAGTTTGGGATTCAGTTAATCGATGATCGCAAACATTCAGTTACAAGGGCTTATATACACGCCCTGCCACCGACTTTCGTAGGCCCAAAGTGCCAACTAAACCACACCGCCTTCCATCGCAGGCCCACCAGCCACTTGTCGTGCCATCCCTGCCTATTGTCGGATAATCTTCAGGCTTACCCTTCAACTACCGGAAACAGTAGGTTTGTCGTGTGCCCTGGGCACACGGCAAAGCCTAAAAAACACTCGGCAAACGGCACTCGGCGTACACAGAATCGGCAAACATTTCTTTGCCGAGTGCTAAAACTGACACTCGACAAAGACTTATCGAAAAATATAAAAAAAAAACCCACCGCCGCTGCCGCCACCAGGCCGCCGCCACGCCGCCGCCACCACTCTGCCGCCGCCATGGGTAAAAAAAACACGGCGGGAAGAGGAGGGAACCTTGAGCTCGACATTGATCACGCGGCAGAGCAGCTTGGAGGGTAGATCATAGAGGCGCATCTGGTTCCCGGCGACCTGGTTCATGGACGCCTCCACCTGAGAGCCCCAAGCACCCAAAATCAGCGCCCGGAGTAGGGGAGCAAGCTAAAGCTCTAGGGGGAGCAGAGCAAGAGGAGTTGAGGAGGAGGAGGAGATGTACCTGCTCGATGTGCTCCTGGGGGAAGTAGAAGACGAGGTCGCCGATGCGGGGGTCGGTGATGAGCGGGCTAGCGCAGGCGCGTCAGAGCTCCGGGTACAGCGGATCCCCTACGGGAACAGAGCGAAGCACCATCAGCATGAGCCCCCGTGGGGAGGAGACGACGAATACGAACAGATAGAGAGAGAGAGAGAGAGAAGGCAGTGGGCCGCTGGAGCTGACCGGATCTGGCGCCGGGAGAGGGATGGAGGGGACGGCGCGGGGAGAGGTTGGGGACGGGGTGGCGTTGGTGGGAGAGGGAGGGGGCGGCGGCGCCGGGAGAGGGAGTGGAGACCCATGGGAGGGAGGGGGCAGTGGCTGGGTGAGTTTATAAGGTTGTGAGTTTGTCGAGTGTCGGATCGGGACACTCGGCAAAGCCACATCTTTGCCGAGTGCCAGACCGGGGGCACTCGGCAAACCCTTTTTTTATTTTTCTTCTTTTCCATAACGTGTGCTAGACAAAAAAAAATGAAATTATTTTGCCGAGTGCTAAATAATTACACTCGGCAAACATATTTATTTGCCGAGTGCCAGACAATTACAATCGGCAAACATATTTCTTTGCCGAGTGCCTAGTTTTGCCGAGTGTTTTTTTTCTAGTTTGCCAAGTGTCGAACTTTGCCAAATGTTTTTTTCCTCGTTTGCCGAGTGCAATTATTTTGTCGAGTGTTTTTTACACTCGGCAAAGAGCTTGTTTGCCGAGTGCCCGATTGATTGCACTCTACCTTCTGTTTCCGGTAGTGCTCGTCTTCTTTGCCAGCTTGGTCCTGACAGTCTTCTGGGTGATGGTCACCGGCGGCTGCCCCGGCAACGCCATGTCGAAGATCTCGATGTGCCTGTACTGCGTCACCACGCGCTCCACCTTCATTACTACCTGCATGGATTTCTCGCGGATGATCGCCACGGCCACCTTGGTCTCGCTGATGGCCGCAGGAGTCATGGCATCGATGCCTTCCGGCGTCACACGTTCCTCCTTGCCAGCGGCGATGTCGTACCTGAAGACGCCCCACCTGGCGTTGTTGGAGGGCGGCGTGGTGTCGAAGCCTCGGTGGAAGAAGATGACATTGTGGCTGCCCTCCCCCATGTCAGCCAGCCGCCGTCCTTGATGAGCACCCTGCGGCCCCGGCCACCCTGCGATCGCCGGTCCACGTTCATGATCACAATGTCCGTCTTGAGGTTCTCGATCTCACCATTCCACCTGTCCTGCTGGAAGTTGGCCACCGCCACCATCTTCCCCGATGGCGACACCGCCCGGCTCAGATCATACTGGCCTGGCGGCGTCAGGAGCTAGGTCTTGCCGTCGGCGATGTTGGTTTTGTACACCACGGTCCACTGGGCGCGCCGTGCTTTTACCGGCTCCTTGGTGGATACGTACACTAGGGAAGCCCCTGCGACCATGATTTGGAATGCAAGGAATAATACCTTGTCAGCACACACCAAACAATGGCAAAAACAACACCAATCACCGACCATGCATTACTCCCTCCCGTCAAAACATATGTTTTAAACATGTGAGGAGGCGGGTGGATGGATATGCATGTATCAGAGTTAATTAAAAATACTAAGCAAGACCTATAATAGAAAATCCAAAGGAAAGAAGATGTTGAAGGTAGCTAACTATGCTATTGCTATGACATATATCTCCTACAATACAACTAAAAAGAACAAAATGTGGATTTTTTTGGTGCGACATTTGTTTTGGTTCGTCTGTCTGTCCACGCCTGCGATCCCCGCCTGCTTTGAAGGAAACAAATCGATCACCTGAGGCCACACGCATGGAAGGAAACAATAATCATGCACCGCGCGATAGAAAAAGGAACTGTCATCCCTGCGATCCCCGCCTGCTTTGAAGGAAACAAATCGATCACCTGAGGCCACATGCATGGAAGGAAACAATAATCATGTATATAAGGAAACAATCATGCGGTGCCCCTCTCTCGCTCGGTCAGATATCTTTCATCTCCACGTAAACCGAATCATATGGTATTGTCCATAATTTGAAGGGTATTAAATTTAGGCTGGGTGCATAATAGGCCACCTAGCTTTATTCTTGCAACTTCTACCTCTTTATGTGTTAGTCTTTGCCAATGGTATAATTTGTTCGCAAAGCTCAAGCAAGACAATTGGCAAAGATCAAGCAAGACGACTCAATGAGATTGTCCCTTAATTTTAGTGTTTCCAGCATGCAGACCTAAAATTAAAAAGTGGATGTTCCTTGAGAACATCAGTGGTGCCAAATAAAAGATGTGCAGGTTATATATGGTGAGACTGGTGAACCTTCTGCAATTTTCTAAACGAATATTCTCACCATTAGTATATAGGTCCATTCCTCTGTGTTTCTTCGTGCTCCCATTAGCATATAATATGAAAGTATTGTTGTGTTCATCACGACTTCCAATTGACTACTCTCATTAGCATATACTTCCTCTGCCCTAAAAGATAAGTCGTTATGGGATGCGTGCAGGTCAAACTTTCTCAACTTTGACTAGGTTTGTAAAAATATGTGCAACCTTTATATCTCCAAATAAGTTTATTATGAAAATATATTCAATGGTCTATGTAATGATACTAATTATGTATTATAAATATTAATATTCTTTTATATATAATTGGTCGAAGTTAAAAAAAAGTTGACTTCTCGGAAAGCGAGAATGAATTTTATTTTGGGACAGAGGGAGTATATGAACGCAGTGTTGAAAATATTTTAACAATCAAGTTCGTCTCTGTCTGATTGGTAAGCTTAGACATCATAATGGCATAAATTTTTTTGACTCTCATGGACACCCTCATGGATCAGTATAAAGCATCCTAATCCTACAGCATATACAAATGGCAACCTTAAAGTTATGATATTTTCAAAGGGTAGACAATAAAGACCATCTTAGACGTTCTGGCATTATAGTATATACGTGCAGGCACATAGGCATGGTGGTGCAAGTGAGCAGCCAGCAAGAGTCGAGAGTTAGGGGGTGTTTGGATCCCAGGACTAAACTTTAGTTCCTGTTATATTGAATTTTTAGATATCAATTAGGAGGACTAAATATGAGCTAATTATAAACCTAATTACATAAGTTGCAGCTAATTCGCTTGCCAGCGCCGTGTACATGATAGTATGGAGATGTGGTAGAACTTATTCGTGGATTTGTTGGCGCACGAAAGAAATGGATATCGGAAATCTCTTCCCGCCGGTATAAAAAATGATCTTAGCCGCATCATGAAAAGATCTACACAATAGAGTTTGTGAGCCTGCGACGTCACGCTCTCTGTGACTATGTAAATTTCACGAACTTAGCTTTTTGAATTAAATGTCACTTTAACGTCGGTCATATACTTTTACAGTATTGTTATCTTATTGTGCGATCCGTGTGTTTTTAGTATAAAAGTTTAGCTGTCCCGTAGCAACGCACGAGCACAAACCTATTTGCATATATACTCGAACCTGTGTGTACATGATTATATGGAGATGCAACGGAACTTATCCATGGATTTATTGACGCATGAAAGAAATGGATATCGTATAATTCTTTTTGCCGATATAAAATATTATCTTAGCCGTATCACGAAAAAGTCTATACAGTAGAGTTTGTGAGCCTGCGACGTCGCGCTCTCCGTGACTGTGTTAATTTCACGAACTTTGCTTTTTGAATTAAATGTCATTTTCACGTCCGTATTTAATTTAACAGTATTATTATCTTATTATGCAATCCATGTGTTTTTAGTACAAAAGATTTAGTTGTCCCGTAGCAATGCACGGGCACGCTACCTAGTATAATTAAAAAACCAGAGTTAACGATACAAGAATTTATTAACATATATAAGCCTTTCAGTGTTCTTCCGGTCAAGATATCACGTTATAGCTAATATCATGTGACCAGTTCAATCACTACTGAGATAGTCCCTAGCTATAGCTCCACATAAAATAGAAGGCGTGGTTTAACTTAATGCAGTCTTAGCATCCACAAGAACAATGCATCCGGGTCATCAATTTGATGGTTTCTATGGCGCACAATAGTAGCAATTGGTAAGTTACATACAAAATAAAAAAATGGAACTTTGGATGCAAGGTACCCGGCCGCCCTGGAACAAGATACCGAGAGCCTATCAGTATATAAAGGGAGGTATGCATAGCCATTCATATCATCACACAAAGTGGAAGCAGAAGGTGATGTGCTCTTATCTTATGAGTATATTAGCGCTGTGTTATTGCACTCACTCTCTCATATAGTCCTGCTCGATCTTAGCAGGCAGGTTCATTATGGCGTTCAACGACGATGAGAAGCCTGCTACTAGACCGAATCCGAATGGAGGCCGGTATCGTCTTCCATCGTCAGCCTTCCACTGATGCATACATTTTCGTAATAATCGTATATTAATGGAGTTTCTGTATATGATGATGATGTATGGATGTCATTTCATTGACGTGTGCTTTATGCATTGCAACGGTATATGCATGGAGTTGCAGTGAACAAACAGGGTCTAGTGACGATGAGGATTCCGAAGTACAGCAAGAAAGATGTGGCTCTCACGGTGGACTCAGTGACGGCAACAGTGGAGATCGAGGCAACATCCTCCACCGCCGTGAGGGAGGGCCTCGACCTTGTGGCCGTGGTGGACATGAGCGGCAGCATGCGAGGGCACAAGATCGAGAGCGTGAAGAAGGCCCTGCAGTTCGTGATCACGAAGCTTACCCCTGTGGACCGCCTCTCCATCGTCACCTTCGAAAGCAGCATCAAGAGGCTCACCCCGCTACGTTCCATGACCCAAGCTGCCCAGAGCGACCTCAAGACAATCGTCGGCCGCCTGGTTGCCGACGGTGGACTTGGGACTGGCTATCCTCGGCGACCGCGTGCTCACGGTGTCCTGCACCGCCAACATCTTCCTCATGTCCGACGGGAAGCCGGAGCGGAAGTCCTCCGGTGACCCGAGGCAAGTCGACCCCGGCGAGGTGTCTGTCTACACCTTAGGTTTCGGCCAGGGCACAGACGACAAGGTATGCAACACTAGCTATTGCTACTCCAACCAATGCTACTGCTACCGGCCGTGTCGATCATTACTGCTAGCTAACCAACCTAGTATACCTTGCATTGGATGCATGCCGCTGCTATAGCTGCTCACCGACATCGCCAAGAAATCCCCCGGCGGAACGTACAGCACGGTGCCCGACGGGACGAACCTGAGCGCGCCCTTCGCGCAGCTGCTGGGTGGCCTCCTCACCGTTGTGGCGCAGGACGTGCGTCTGACCCTCACCCCAAAGACGACCAACGGCGACCTGGACACGACGGCGGTGGCCCCCGGAACGGACTACACGCAGACCACCGACGCCAACGGCGTGATCACCATCAAGTTCGGCACCCTCTTCAGCGGAGAGACGCGCAAGGTCGCCGTCAACTTCACTCTCAAGGAAAGCTCCGAGACCGAGGCCTACAACGCGACATTAGCCGTGGCGAGGCACAGCTACGCCGCAGAGGAAACGTGGCAGCCTGCCCAGAACATTCAGCGGCTGCGCACCCCGGACCCGAGCCCTCCCGGCGTCGCCGGCAGAGAGGAGCGGTCGGTGCAGGCCGAGGAGGTACGCCGGCAGCACGCCGACATGATCAGCCAGGCCTAATGGCGGATGGCGGCAAACTGGACCGCGCGCGGGATAAGATTATGGACGCCCAGAACGCGCTGGAGGACATCATGCTGGACGACGGCGACCGGATGGTGAACGTGCTCCGAGCCGAGCTGCTGCAGCTGCTGGAATACATGGAGTCGCAGAAGCTCTACAACAAGCTGGGCCACCCCTACGCGCTCGCCACCCTCATCTCACATGGCCGCCAGCGTGCCGCTGGAAGGGGCGACGAGGAGGTCATCTCCCACTACGTCACGCCGCGCATGATCGCCTACCTAGAGCAGGTCAAGTAAGTTCGAGGAGAACCCGCAAGCGCCGGTGCCCACCGCGGACAAGGACGTCGAGCAGGAGATGGCTACCAACCCACTCTGCGCCATCTCCGCCCCGCTCGGCTTCTACCTGGAAAACGCCGTCCAGGCGCTGCAGGCCATCGAGAAGATCATCTCCGCCACCACAATTTTAGATTATTTCGGGTCCAATTTGAATTTACTATCCCCAAAACGCATGCTATGTTTTTGTTTATCTCTTTTCATTTTATCTCTACTCGTACTTTTTTTTTTGCGAATTATATGTGTCCACTCCAATCCAATAAGCACGCCGGCCCCTGAGAAGTCCTTCCGTTGTGTTTGTTTAATCATTCTATTTATCTAGTATCTACCACTGTAATGTAATGTAAAAAAACATTAGAGCAATAAAAACAGCATATTTAGATTTGGATATCTAATCTAGTTCTCTAAAACTATATATTTACACAATCAAAATACATAACTTCGACACCAAAATGTATAAATCGGGCTCTCCATTTTGGAAAGTATCTACGTACGTCATCACTAATTAACTAAATATAAGCACTCTTTGGTTGAGCTTCACATCTAGTCAAAGTAGCTTCCGTTGTGACTTCTTATGTAAAGCAGCTTCTTATCGCTCTAGCTTCTCTAGTTAGAAAATCATATGGTAAAACAATTTCTCGTGATGCTTGAACATAGTGAAATTTCTAAAATACTCTCTTATTTTTTCCTACTTTTTCTTTTATTTTTTCCAACTTTAGGCCCTGTTTGGTACAGCTTCACGAGCTGTTTTTTTTTCCAAACGGGTCTTCTGAAAATAGCTTCACCCATTAAGCTCCTTAGATCATGCTCTCACATAGGAATCAGGTGGGATGAACCTGAAAATAGTAGCTTTTCACAACTTCACCTCACACTTATGGGCCCTGTGTGGGATCCTGTGACAGCATATTTTAAGAATTCTAAACACAGAGCTGTTTTATCAAATAGGTCTCCAAAATAGATTCAGCTTCCCCGAGAAAGCAGTTCGTAAATCTGAAACCCCAAAAAACAACTTCACTGGCGAAGCTAGGCTATGTCAAACAGGGCCTTATTTATTTCTCTATTCTCCACGAATTGACCTTATCCCCTCGCATAGGCCATTTGGACTCTCCGCATGACTAAACGCATTGGCCGTCCAACACCTACCGCGCTTCTGCTTGACCAACGCCGGCACCAAACCTCCGCTCATGGCACACGTACTGTCGCCAGATCTCCTCTGCCACAGCCCCTCATCGGTCTCTTCGCCTCGCACCGCCTCCGCCTTCGCTAGCCTCACTGCCTCATGTGGTCGCACCGCCTCTGCCCCTTACCGGCCTATCCACCTCGCACTGCCTCTATGCTTTACCGGCTTCCGCTCTAAGCCACCTTGCCCCCACCTCGTGCCACGATCACGCGCTGGACCCACGGAGCGCAAGGAAGTTGAGTGAAGTTGCTTTTTAGGCCCCGTTTGTAGAGCTTCTACCGGCTCCAGCTTCTCTGATGCATTCACTGTTCATATACTATTCATAGGAACTATTTTTCTCTCTCCTCTCTCCTCCTCTCACAGAGCCCATGAGAGCAGGAGAAGGGCTTGCTGCTAGTCTTGTGAATTTTCTTCACCGACTAGGCCAGTAATTAAGCAGCGGCACGTTTTCATATTTTGGGTGTTTCGTTGGTCCGTTTCGCATGCCGTCTGTTCTGTTGGCTTGCTGCTAGTCTTGTGAACTTTTCTCTGCTCTCTTGTCACTAGTTGGCTTGAGGGTTTTGAGTCGGGTTCTTGCCACTTTGTGATAGAGGTGGAGAACACCGTTCCATGTTTTTGATGTCATGTCGGATTTTCTATCTTTCTGCTGTCCCGCTGTGTTCCTAGCCACCAGTTGGCTCGAGGGCATCACGTTTGCATTGTTTGGTGCTCTTGGAGGGTGATCGTGGGATAGCGGCCATTTCGAGAGAAATTTTGAATTAGCTCCCATTCACCCCCTCATCTGGTCGCCTTGTTCGGTCCTTCAGAATAACAAATAAAGCACTACGAATTAGTTCTCGTCTTCATATAAAATGTAAGACTCATATCTCTCACCAAACACCTTGTCCATGAGGAACCCAACAACTTGTTCTTGCATTTCAGAAGTCTCGGACTCTAGCAGCCGACCGTCGTAATGCTCTTCTCCCTGTCGCTCTTCTCCCTTTCATTGAATTGACAAGGTATTAATAAGCTACACAATTAACATGTGTTACCGAAAACAATGGCATATTTCATTGAATTGATGAATGAAAATAAAATGGAAAGCATGGATCACACCGGTTTTTCTTTGGTCAATTCGTGCATTTTATGCATCACGTAGAAACCGCAAAGGTCGTTGCCTGGTGGCTGATTTAGGGTACACTTCTTTATAGTTTTTTCTTCAAAGTTTTCTGTACTGTCTATAATACATGCTTTTCTTAATGTACTCCGTGATGACACTGCATGAGATTATTACGATCTGATTAGGTTGAATATATGTGATCCTTAAAATGTAAATGTTTCACGCACTCGCAATGGTAGACAGGGGTATGCTTGGTACTCATTGGCAATTTACGAATATCTGTCACGTCCCTGATAATATCATGTGGATCGCGAGTAATTCCTTTGCATGTGTTTTGCTTTACTTTGGCAGGGTCAACGAAGGCCACATCATTATTCCTCTGGCCCTGCACATTTCTGCCTCCATACTCCATAAGCAAGAAATGATCAATTCTTATATGTATCCATTGTTACAGCACACGGTGTCACATAATGTGTGGTGAGCGTACTTACATAGTCAACAAGGAAAGTTTCTCAATGTTGAGTTGGCGCCTCTGGTATAAATTAAACAAGCAGTCCAAGTAGACCCACACTGTTTCTTCTTTAAAATGAAATACCCATGCTGAGACTCTAAATCCGAACATTTCTTGCTCCTTACCTGTCTCTATTTTGTAACATTCATGCAGTCAACGCTCACAACGCACGCACACTCACCCCTATGAATACATGCACGCAAACCCTACCCCTGTAAGCATCTTTGAAGACTAGGCCAGCAAATTCTCAAGATTGACGAAGTCACCATAGGCATCTCACTATCGACGGAAACATCACATACCACTGAAAGCACATAGCCTTTATATTCTCTATCTTGCTCCCGCGCCGGGCTGGATACTGGCCCTCCTTCACTTGCACCACTCCGGGCTGTCTGCTTCAGGTTGGTCTTCCTATCCCGAATGGGTCGCGGGCTCGGTCTGATCCCTTCAGCGCCGGAGCAGGCCTCCCGCTAGGTCGATCCATGACATACTACCAATAACTTGTCAGCATCCAGATGGGCTGAATCCCAATGATCATTGGGCCCAGACAAACCGGGACTGCCGCCGAGTGCCATCCGTCCTCCCTGCGACGACTGCGTCGGGATAGCGAGTGGCAGAGTAGTGTGGGGAACGGAAAGGTGGAGCGGCGGTAGCGAACCGGGCACGGTCAATTGCGTGACCGACCCGGAGAAAGGGTGCAATCAACACGTGCCAGCGGCGGGGCTGCTCTCATCCCCGACGCGCCGCCGTGGCTGCTACTTGACAGCTGGTAAGCATTAGCATCGCTGGTGCTCTCGTTTACTTGTCCGCGAAGCAGAACTGCACCCATTGAATCCATTTTTTTTATTTTTATTGTACTGTAGTAGTAGATTGAATTGGCGGAGGGAACCGAGGGCTGAGGGGCCTGGCACCCCCAACATTACTATACCTCCTACAATATGTCTCCTTAAGTAGCTACATATAATACTCTAATTAACTAGTTAAAATGCTATTTGTTTTTTATATTCTTTCTATATTTATTTTTAATATCATCTTGTAAGATTAAGAATTAGTCTCCCTATTATTTTCTCCATCTCTTTTGTTCTTTCTATTAGTGCTTACCAAATGTCTAGTTCAACCCTACAGTACACCCTCTGATCATCTTATACAACTAAGAATTAGTCTATTATAGCAAACGTCTAGTTCATCCTCACAGTACACCCTCTAATTAGCTAGTTAAATGTAATTATTGTTTTCTTGTTTGCTCTCCCTTTGAATAATTGATCTCTAATAGCATCTATATTATTTGGAATTAGTCTTTCTTATCTCTAATGATTGATCTCTAATAGCATCTAGTTCATCCCTTTTATTCACGGTCATGGGTGAACAGAGAGATGGAACGGTAGGTGCAAAAGAGGATGATGGGAGCACCTTGGAAAAGTTCCCTGGGGAAAGAGGCTCTGATTACCATGTGAAATTTGGTGAATGAGTTAACTCTATTGGAGGGCTCAATGCAAGTTGCGTGTTAATATAGCCCAGAAGAGCCCCTAGCATGGCTTGTACAACAAGAGGATATAGGATATACATGGAATATATCTGAATTAATCATTCTGATGTTACAAAATAAGGCAACCGATCCCTATCCAACTATAGCATATCTTAACAGGGCGTGCACGCACAAACACAAAAGAGAAAGGAAATAAAACAAGTACCACGTTGGGTAGTTGCAGCAACAATAGTAGCTGTTGTACCGAGGAACAATGCAATACACATTGTGATGAGCTCGACCCTTAGCTCAAACAGCGGTTTCAGTGAAGTCCCGTCGTTTAAGAATGCCCGCGTGCATGAGCAGTGCCCAAAGGTGCGTCATGAACTCCCCCCCTTCTGCGAGATGCTCGGCATGGACGTCCGTGTTGTCCGACGGTGCGAGGAAGAGCAACAGCTCAGCCCAGAACTCCGCGAGGAGCTCCCACCGCCGCGGCACGGTGATCGCCATGAGGCATCTATGCAGCCTGGCTCCGAGGATTAGGATCGGCGTTTCTTCGCCTCTGCTGCCGCCAACTATGCCACCAAGTTCTGTCATCTTGTCGAATATTTTCGACATGTCCTTTGTCATGCCGAGATACTCCCGAGCTTTGCGCACAGTAGCCTCCAGAATCTGCTTGGTCTTCGACTTGTCCTCGGTGTTGACGAGATTCTGTCGAGCCTCGCGCACAACGGCGTCCAGGATTTGCTTGGTCGTGTAGCTGTGGTCTGGTAGCATCTCCGGGACAAAAGCAAGCAGATAGGCACAATAGCCAGAAAGACATGTTGCAATGAGGCGGTGGCGATGCAACTGTGGGAGCAGCTCGTGAGAAATATCCTTGTCCTTAGTAAAGTCGTCCTTGACGTCGCACAATGTGGTGGCAATGTGCCACACGAGGACCATGTGCGTGGTTGTGGGTTGCGTGCATGCCCAGAGCAATTCGCCTTCCCCATCCTTTATGGATTTCGTGCCATTGGTGAGACAGCCATTGCCTTCCTCGAGGGAACGGCGGAGAGCAGTCGCGACCGCATGCATGACAGCAGGTGGGAGCTCGACATCCGGCTCGCGCTTCCGACCAATGCCTTTGGGATCCATTAGGCGTAAGGTGAGCAAAGAGAGTGTGTTGGTCAAGAACGAGTCGTACTCTAGGGACTTGAGGAGCGAGTACTGGCCGAGCTTGTGATCCCAGTGCCTCACCTTATGATAGCGGCAATTCGCCACCCACTTGATGAGTTCTTGGCGGATCCAGCTCCAGCAATGCCAACGTGACTTCTTCTTGGTCCTCACGTAGTCACACACAAAGTGAACAACCGCCCAGTTGGAGTAACTCGTGGCTAGCTGCTGCAACACGTCTATGGCAAAGATCATGGCTACAAAGAGAAAGTCATTGAAGATGGTAAAGGCGTAGTAGGGGGCTACGAATCGAGGATGCCTAGCCACCCAGATGGCGTCGGTGGTGAAATACAGGAGCACCACGAGGAACACAAGGAGGAAGAAGAAACGGATGACACCGACAACTCTTTTGGTGGGGAAGAGCACTGGGTACTTGGTGTAGAAGAAGTCGTACAGGAAGGACAGCTCGACCTCAATGATATGGAAGGCGCGCTCTGCGCCTCGTCGGAGTTGATCCTCCGGGTTGTCATCGCATTGATGTTGAGGACGGCTTGGAGGTGCATTGTTGTCGGCGAGGAGCCCATGTAGAACGAAGTCCCTTGTCTTTGGGTGGCCTGCCTCGGCGATCTCAAGGCTGCAAAAGCGCCGCTTGAGCAGCTTGAACAATGCGAACGAGAGACACGTGTCCTTAAGTGCACGTGCCCGTTCATCCCTAGAACTCAAAAGCTTGCCATCGTGCTTCCAGATCATGTCAATCGTGATGACATCGCCGTCGTCGGCCACCGGAACATGTGTTAGGTAGGGTGGTGCGGAAGGCGGTATGGAATACTCGTCCTCACCGAGGACGAGATATTTGTACCTAGTCATGTCTGAGGGGTCATGGCCGGCGTCATGGCTCTGAACGACATCGGTATGCATGTAGTCAGCCACCACCTTGGCGCTGCGCACGAGGCCATAGTGCGTCATGCTTGCCATGCGTAGTGCCTTGGTCCTCTGGGCCATCTTGAAGATGCTATACACCCAACAGAGGAGCAAGAAGGGCGCGATGATCCACCCTCCTCCGGCCAAGCTTCTCTGGCTGAGGAGCAACCAGAGAACAAGCAACGTCTGGAGGACATGCTTCGTCTGCATGCCCTTGCTCTGCTCGACGTCGTGCCGGCTGAAGGCCGAGATGGTGTCGGCGCTGCCGAGGAGGAGAAGCAGCACGACGGCCCAAAGCAACTGGCTCTGGGCAGGGTTGGGACTGTCGAATGCCTGGATGAGGCCGATGGTGTATGACACGAGGACGTAGGAGATGGTGTAGGCGGCCTCGAGGATGAGGAGGAAGACCTTGCTGCGACAGCGCCGGCGCCGGGAGCCCAGCAGCGCCTGGAAGGCGAGCAGCACCGCGCCGGCCGTGGCGAGGACGTCGATGTGCGTCCCTTTGTCCGAGCGGATCAGAGTCAGCAGGTACCCGGTGGTCATGTAGGGGTCTCCTTCCTCCGGAGTGGGGCCTAGCGACAGACCTCCGTTCGGGTCCATGTGTTAAAAGCTCTCAGCTACAGAGATCCTCCTAGCTAGCTACTCTCTCTTGGTCTTGGGTGATTCATATTCTGAGCATGCTTGGACGATATCTGTGGCGCATTATATAGCTTGTTGCCATGCTCTTATTGTTGAATAGCTTGTTACTTACTCAATATGACGAGAGAGAGGCGGGTTATGATAATTAACTACAATTTGGTACTGGCAGCCAATTAGTTCCTCGTCGTTGGGCGACTCCGACGTCCCGTCAAAAACAAATATAATGACCGTATGTACTCAGAGTATAGCGATAATGAATACGTTTTTCCTTTTATTAGATCAACCATTTAACTCACCATTTATAATAGAAAGGTGGCAGGCAAGTTCAGCCATACTACTCGTTGCAAAATCTTTATATAGTTTATTTTAATCAAAATGTAAGTGTCTCTTCCTCTTACACGTAAAGTTTGCACCCTTGATTTATTAATCAATATGACGAGCGAGAGGCGGGTTATGATAATTAACTACAATTTGGTACTGGCAAGCAAATAGTTCCTCGTCATTGGGCGACTCCAAAAACAAATATAATGACCGTATGTACTCAGAGTCTAGCGATAATGAATAAGTTTATTCCTTTTATTAGATTGACAATTTAACACACCATTTATAATAGAAGGGTGGCCGGCGAGTTCAGCCATACTACTCGTTGCAAAATCTTTATATAGTTTATTTTAATCAAAATGTAAGTGTCTCTGCCTCTTACACGTAAAGTTTGCACCCTTGATTTATTAATCAATATGACGAGCGAGAGGCGGGTTATGATAATTAACTACAATTTGGTACTGGCAACCAATTAGTTCCTCGTCGTTGGGCGACTCCAAAAACATATATAATGACCGTATGTACTCAGAGTCTAGCGATAATGAATATGTTTATTCCTTTTATTAGATCGACAATTTAACACACCATTTATAATAGAAGGGTGGCCCGCGAGTTCAGCCATACTACTCGTTGCAAAATCTTTACATAGTTTATTTTAATCAAAATGTAAGTGTCTCTGCCTCTTACACGTTTATTAATCAATATGACGAGCGAGAGGCGGGTTATGATAATTAACTACAATTTGGTACTGGCAACCAATTAGGTCCTCGTCGTTGGGCGACTCCGACATCCCGTCAAAAACAAATATAATGACCGTACGTACTCAGAGTCTAGCGATAATGAATATGTTTATGCCTTTTATTAGATCGACAATTTAACTCACCATTTATAATAGAAGGGTGGCCAGCGAGTTCACCATACTACTCGTTGCAAAATCTTTATATAGTTTATTTTAATCAAAATGTAAGTGTCTCTGCCTCTTACACGTAAAGTTTGCACCCCGGATTTATTAATCAATATGACGAGCGAGAGGCGGGTTATGATAATTAACTACAATTAGGTACTGGCAGCCAATTAGCTCCTCATCGTTGGGCGACTCCGACGTCCTGTCAAAAACAAATATAATGACCGTATGTACTCAGAGTCTAGCAATAATGAATATGTTTATTCCTCTTATTAGATCGACAATTTAACTCACCATTTATAATAGAAGGCTGGCCGGCGAGTTCAGCCACACTACTCGTTGCAAAATCTTTATATAGTTTATTTTAATCAAAATGTAAGTGTCTCTGCCTCTTACACGTAAAGTTTGCACCCTTGATTTATTAATCAATATGACGAGCGAGAGGCGGGTTATAATAATTAACTACAATTTGGTACTGGCAACCAATTAGTTCCTCGTCGTTAGGCGACTACAAAAACATATATAATGACCGTATGTACTCAGAGTCTAGCGATAATGAATATGTTTATTCCTTTTATTGGATAGACAATTTAACACACCATTTATAATAGAAGGGTGGCCGGCGAGTTCAGCCATACTACTTGTTGCAAAATCTTTATATAGTTTATTTTAATAAAAATGTAAGTGTCTCTGCCTCTTACACGTATTTTAATCAAAATGTAAGTGTCTCTGCCTCTTACACGTAAAGTTTGCACCCTTGATTTATTAATCAATATGACGAGCGAGAGGCGGGTTATGATAATTAACTACAATTTGGTACTGGCAACCAATTAGTACCTCGTCGTTGGGCGACTCCGACGTCCCGTCAAAAACAAATATAATGACCGTATATACTCAGAGTCTAGCGATAATGAATATATATGTTTATTCCTTTTATTAGATCGACAATTTAACTCACCATTTATAATAGAAGGGTGGCCGGCTTGTTCAGCCATACTACTCGTTGCAAAATCTTTATATAGTTTATTTTAATCAAAATGTAAGTGTCTCTGCCTCTTACACGTTTATTAATCAATATGACGAGCGAGAGGCGGGTTATGATAATTAACTACAATTTGGTACTGGCAACCAATTAGTTCCTCGTCGTTGGGCGACTCCAACATCCCATCAAAAACAAATATAATGACCGTACGTACTCAGAGTCTAGCGATAATGAATATGTTTATGCCTTTTATTAGATCGACAATTTAACTCACCATTTATAATAGACGGGTGAACAGCGAGTTTGCCATACTACTCGTTGCAAAATATTTGTATAGTTTATTTTAATCAAAATGTAAGTGTCTCTGCCTCTTACACGTAAAGTTTGCACCCCTGATTTATTAATCAATATGACGAGCGAGAGGCGGGTTATGATAATTAACTACAATTAGGTACTGGCACCCAATTAGCTCCTCGTCGTTGAGCGACTCCGACGTCCTGTCAAAAACAAATATAATGACCGTATGTACTCAGAGTCTAGCGATAATGAATATGTTTATTCCTTTTATTAGATCGACAATTTAACTCACCATTTATAATAGAAGGCTGGCCGGGGAGTTCAGCGACACTACTCGTTGCAAAATCTTTATATAGTTTATTTTAATCAAAATGTAAGTGTCTCTGCCTCTTACACGTAAAGTTTGCACCCTTGATTTATTAATGAATATGACGAGCGAGAGGCGGGTTATAATAATTAACTACAATTTGGTACTGGCAACCAATTAGTTCCTCGTCGTTGGGCGACTACAAAAACATATATAATGACCGTATGTACTCAGAGTCTAGCGATAATGAATATGTTTATTCCTTTTATTGGATCGACAATTTAACACACCATTTATAATAGAAGGGTGGCCGGCGAGTTCAGCCATACTACTCGTTGCAAAATCTTTATATAGTTTATTTTAATAAAAATGTAAGTGTCTCTGCCTCTTACACGTAATTTAATCAAAATGTAAGTGTCTCTGCCTCTTACACGTAAAGTTTGCACCCTTGATTTATTAATCAATATGACGAGCGAGAGGCGGGTTATGATAATTAACTACAATTTGGTACCGGCAACCAATCAGTACCTCGTCGTTGGGCGACTCCGACGTCCCGTCAAAAACAAATATAATGACCGTATATACTCAGAGTCTAGCGATAATGAATATATATGTTTATTCCTTTTATTAGATCGACAATTTAACTCACCATTTATAATAGAAGGGTGGCCGGCTTGTTCAGCCATACTACTCGTTGCAAAATCTTTATATAGTTTATTTTAATCAAAATGTAAGTGTCTCTGCCTGTTACACGTAAAGTTTGCACCCTTGATTTATTAATCAATATGACGAGCAAGAGGCGGGTTATGATAATTAACTACAATTTGGTACTGGCAACCAATTAGTTCCTCGTCGTTGGGCGACTCCAAAAACATATATAATGACCGTATGTACTCAGAGTCTAGCGATAATGAATATGTTTATTCCTTTTATTAGATCGACAATTTAACACACCATTTATAATAGAAGGGTGGCCGGCGAGTTCAGCCATACTACTCGTTGCAAAATCTTTACATAGTTTATTTTAATCAAAATGTAAGTGTCTCTGCCTCTTACACGTTTATTAATCAATATGACGAGCGAGAGGCGGGTTATGATAATTAACTACAATTTGGTACTGGCAACCAATTAGGTCCTCGTCGTTGGGCGACTCCGACATCCCGTCAAAAACAAATATAATGACCGTACGTACTCAGAGTCTAGCGATAATGAATATGTTTATGCCTTTTATTAGATCGACAATTTAACTCACCATTTATAATAGAAGGGTGGCCAGCGAGTTCACCATACTACTCGTTGCAAAATCTTTATATAGTTTATTTTAATCAAAATGTAAGTGTCTCTGCCTCTTACACGTAAAGTTTGCACCCCGGATTTATTAATCAATATGACGAGCGAGAGGCGGGTTATGATAATTAACTACAATTAGGTACTGGCAGCCAATTAGCTCCTCATCGTTGGGCGACTCCGACGTCCTGTCAAAAACAAATATAATGACCGTATGTACTCAGAGTCTAGCAATAATGAATACGTTTTTTCCTTTTATTAGATCGACAATTTAACTCACCATTTATAATAGAAGGCTGGCCGGCGAGTTCAGCCACACTACTCGTTGCAAAATCTTTATATAGTTTATTTTAATCAAAATGTAAGTGTCTCTGCCTCTTACACGTAAAGTTTGCACCCTTGATTTATTCATCAATATGACGAGCGAGAGGCGGGTTATAATAATTAACTACAATTTGGTACTGGCAACCAATTAGTTCCTCGTCGTTGGGCGACTACAAAAACATATATAATGACCGTATGTACTCAGAGTCTAGCGATAATGAATATGTTTATTCCTTTTATTGGATCGACAATTTAACACACCATTTATAATAGAAGGGTGGCCGGCGAGTTCAGCCATACTACTCGTTGCAAAATCTTTATATAGTTTATTTTAATAAAAATGTAAGTGTCTCTGCCTCTTACACGTATTTTAATCAAAATGTAAGTGTCTCTGCCTCTTACACGTAAAGTTTGCACCCTTGATTTATTAATCAATATGACGAGCGAGAGGCGGGTTATGATAATTAACTACAATTTGGTACTGGCAACCAATTAGTACCTCGTCGTTGGGTGACTCCGACGTCCCGTCAAAAACAAAT